ACCGAATCGAGCGAAATTGCTCAAAACAACCAGTCGGGTCTTTACAAGCATCCTCGTCCGAAAGTTGGATTGCCTGGCCCGACTCATTAGGTGGCTGACTGCGCATGAATTCCCCCATGTCAGCTGTGAAGTGACCCTATAAGAAAAATTACATAGAATTAGTATTTCAAAATTTATATAAAAGTAAATCAAAATACTTAATGAAAAGTGAAAAACTTACATGTATAATCGAGGCTTGGCCCTCGACCAATATTTCTGGATTAGTCTCTTTCTTCTTCTTTACAATACGAGTCTCATTGAATAGCTCATCTTGCTTCATTGGCATCATATAGATGTCTGGTAGCTTTGGTGATTATCCTCGTAGTAATATTACTCGAGATGAACTTGGATACAGAGAATAACTTATAAACTAAAATTCCAATACATAAACTAAAAGTCCAATTCATATCCTAAAGGTTCAATTCATATCCTAAAGGCTCAATTCATATTCTAAAAGTTCAATTCATATACGAAAATTTCAATTCATATCCTAAAGGTTCAATTCATATCCTAAAATTTCAATTCATATCTACAAAAGTTCAATTCATATCCTAAAATTTCAATTTATAAACTAAAATTCCAATACATAAACTAAAAGTTCAATTCATACACAAAAATTTCAATTCATATCCTAAAGGTTCAATTCATATCCTAAAATTTCAATTCATACCCACAAAAGTTCAATTCATATCCTAAAATTTTAATTGATAAACTAAAGGCTCAATTCATATCCTAAAAGTCCAATTCATATCCTAAAGGCTCAATTCATATCTTAAAAGTTCAATTCATATACAAAAATTTCAATTCATATCCTAAAGGTTCAATTCATATCCTAAAATTTCAATTCATATCCTAAAAGTCCAATTCATATTCTAAACCCTAGATTCTAACTAAACTATCAAGACAATACAAAGTGTAATTCAAATCTAACTAAACTAAATTCAACACTAATTAAACTAATTAGTTAATAAAATTAATTAACAAAGCTAACTAAAACAAGACCTAAACCCTAATCCTCAATAAAATACAATGTTCAAAGAATTTAAATACTAATTAATATCCTTAAACTACAATATTGAAATAATTGAAACAAAAACTAGAAATAACAAAGATTCAATGTTATAATTCAAACCTAGGTTTTTTTAGGTGGAGAAGGAGAGAAAAGGGCAGCGGCAGCGGCGGCTCCGGCGGTCACAAAGGTGGCACGGGGTGGGGGGATTGATTTGTGTGAGGAAAATAGAGAAGGGTAGGGGAATGTGTTGACAGAGAGTTGAGAAAATTTTGGGGAAGAAAATAAGAGAATGGGAGGGGGAAACCGTTTTTGAGTCCGGATTTACAAAAAACGACCAACGTTGGTCGCTATTTTTGGTAGCTAATTAAGTTTTGACTGTTTGACCAAAATAGCGACCAACGTTGATCGCTATTTCTAAAAAAAAAATAACTTTTTTTTTCTATTTTGGTTTTTAAATATTATAAGCTATAAAACAAAACTTATTAGCTATAAATATTTATTTTATTTAACTACGACTATTATAAATAATTAAAAACTATAAGCATAATCTTTAAAAAAAATTATATTAACTAGGTAACTACTTTTAATAGATTATAATAACATGTATGTAAAGGAATTTTTAAGTTATATTTAAGTATATGAGTAATTTCATACACACACATAAACTATATTGTAATTGATGATCAATCTTATACATTACTACGTACGAATAATTAATGAATTGATAAACCAATATAATATTATTCTATTAATTGATATAATAGTATTCATTATTTGTATTATAACAGAGTAAATGAATTACATTCATTCATCACTAGGTTATAAGTCGATGAATCAATTATAACAGATTAATTGATATGATGTTTTGTTTTTAATATTCAACGATACATCTGAGTAGGTTATAAGTCGATGAATCAATTTACTATTTAAACAATCCCTAAAAGAACCCGATATAGACACACACACAGAGACACACACACAGACACTTCACTGTAATACTATAACATATATATAACTTGTTTATAATATATGCTAGTGTGTGTATATATATATATATATAACACACACACTTCGTGCTACTTTAACTACATATATAGCATGTTATAATACATGATATTGCATTCATTATTTGTATTGTAACAGAGTTAATGAATTACATTCATTCATCACTAGGTTATAAATCGATGAATAAATTACAACAGATTAATTGATATAAGTCGAGACGTTTTGTTTTTAATATTCAAAGATGCATCTGAGTAGGTTATAGTCAATGAATCAATTTACAAGTGTATCAATACCTAAAAGAATCCGGCCCTGTGTTCCTAGCGCTTCATGTTCTTATATATATATATATAGACACACACACCCTTACACACACACAGACACTTCACTGTAATACTATAACGTATATATAACTTGTTATAGTATATGTTAGTGTGTGTGTATATATATAAAACACACACTTCGTGCTACTTTAACTACATATATAGCATGTTATAATACATGATACTGCATTCATTATTTGTATTGTAACAAAATTAATGAATTACATTCATTCATCACTAAGTTATAAGTCAATGAATAAATTATAACAGATTAATTGATATAAGTTGAGACGTTTTGTTTTTAATATTCAATGATGCGTCTGAGTAGGTTATAAGTCAATAAATCAATTTACACATACACACACACACACACACACTTATATATATAGAACGCTTCGCTGTACTACTTTAACTACATATATATCATGTTAGAGTATATTTTAGTGTATTCATCCCTTGTATTACAAAAGTGTTAACGGATTACATTTATATTATTTAGATAGTAAATACAAAAGTGATTTTTTATTTTGACCAATGTTGACCGGAAAAGAGACCAACTTTAGTCGCTAATTATCCAGAAATTAAAAGTAGCGACCAAAGTTGGTCGCTATATTTAAATCAGATTTATTTATATTTTATATGATATTTAAAATAATAATATAATTATTAAACGTTATAAGTCCCAGATTAGCGACCAAAGTTGGTCTCTATCTGCTTCCCCTTTCGTATGGTCGCTAATTTTGAATTATATTTATTTATATTTTATAATTTTTTTAAAATAATAATATAATTATTAAAATTTTATAACTGGGTCCCAGATTAGCGACCAAAGTTGGTCTCTATCTGCTTCCCCTTTCGTATGGTCGCTAATTTTGAATTATATTTATTTATATTTTATAATTTTTTTAAAATAATAATATAATTATTAAAATTTTATAACTGGGTCCCAGATTAGCGACCAAAGTTGGTCTCTATCTGCTTCCCCTTTCGTATGGTCGCTAATTTTGAATTATATTTATTTATATTTTATAATTTTTTTAAAATAATAATATAATTATTAAAATTTTATAACTGGGTCCCAGATTAGCGACCAAAGTTGGTCTCTATCTGCTTCCCCTTTCGTAAGCGACCAACTTTGGTCGCTAATTTTAGATTATATTTATTTATATTTTATAATATTTTTTAAATAATAATATAGTTATTAAAATTTTATAACTGGGTCCCACTTTAGCGATCAAAGTTGGTCGCTAATTTAAGTATTTCTTTGACCAAGCAAGTTTGACCAGTACGGCCAATATTTTGACCACATTATGGACCAAAAAGCGACCAACCTTGGTCGCTTATGTATTTAGAATAATTATTTAATTATTTTCACCAATTTAGCGACCAACTTTGATAGCTTTTCTTGACAAATCAATTTTGGTCATTTTTTTCCGTATTTCTAATAGTGATATTACAAATGAACTTTTACTACAAAAGAAAAAATATGTCTATGCAACAATAGAAATTTACTCCTTATAATTATAGTTACAAAACCATTAGAACTTGACAATTAACTTTTAGATAGACGGTACATCAAAATCTTGAACATGCAACAAACAAATGTGAGTCGAAACTTAAATAGTGCCAAAAATGTCACAAAATACGTTCCTACTGTTAAAAAAAAAGTTACATAAATACATAAAACGCAGTATAATACTGCGTTTTACTTTAACGAAAAGTTAGCCATTAAAGTTAAACGTAGTACTATACTGCGTTTTATTAAAAAATTAATTTTTTAGGAAAATACATTACAATACTGCGTTTAACTTAAACGTAGTATTGTATTGCGTTTCCCTATAATATTTGGCCCACTTCTGCAAGACATTTAAATCCCTATAATTTATTGGAAATTTTACCACCTATAGAATAAGTTAGTACCCTATTTATATTCTATAAATACCCTTCTAAAATATTACATTCTATAAATACCCTTTTTAGTTTATAGCAAAAAATTTAAATTTAGTTCCATCCTAAAATTAAGGCTTAATATATGCTACAAAATATTTTTCTATCTCATTTTTTTTATTTTCTCTCACCTAATTAGCGTATATCTCCTCTCATCAGGTTTTCTCTCTCTTCTTCAATACACTTTTCCCTCTTCTCCCACAAACACACGTTTCATACACTTCAAAAACCCTCCTCCGCCATTATCGCGTATACTTCTCCGCCATTATCACCCCACACGCCATTCTTCTTCGCAACTGTTCTCAAGCATATTTTGACGGGCAAGTTGGTTCTCAAGTGTTTTTTATAGCTTCACAGTTGTATTTTGGAAATTTTCTCCCCGTAGGTAATTCAACTACTTCGAAATTGCTTTTTCATTAGTTTGTTTCTATAAGTTTTTTTAGCGAATTTACACAATTTTCTGATATATCTTCCATTTGTATTGTTAATCACCAGGATTCTTTGAGTTTTCTCTCTAATGTCGGATGCAACGCCACTCAACAGACTACCCAGAGGTATACCCACCAAAATTCTCTATTTTGATGGGCCCTCTTTCTCGTTGCAACTGACTCAAGCGGAGAAAGATTTTGCAGGTTTATCAGCATCCAAAATTGATGAAAGAAGAAGTAAATTACACAATGACAAGTTTTAAAGAAGTCCAAGTTGATGAAGCTTCAAAAGAAACCAAAAATCAAGTTGGCTCAAAGAGGAAAAAACCTATGAAAGATTCAAGAAACCACAAGGTAATTGGTATTTGTTACATGTATTCTGTTGTATTCATATGTATCTTCTTGTATTTTTGTACCTTTTTGTATAGTGTATTCTGTTTCTTCTATAGTATGTTTATGTATTCATATGTATTTGGTTGTTTCCAACAGTTCATTTTTAATGTAATCTTACCGTATTCATATGTATTCATTTGTATTTAGCGTTTGCTAATGTATATTTGCGATAATTCAATTGTCCAGTTTGGCCTCAAATGTATTCATATGCATTCATATGTATTCAGGTGTATTCATCTTAAATATTTTGTATTATATCTGTATGTTACAAAGTATGTTAGCATATATTTAGCCTTGTCACTGTATCTAGTCTTCTGTAAGTGTTTGTAGTTGTCTGACATGCATTTGGCTTTGTCACTGTATCATGTCTTACATGTATTCCAAAAAAACTTAATATGTATTTTTGCAATGTATTCATATGTATTAACATGTATCTTTCAATATTCATTGCAGGGAATTGATTTGTTTGTGAAACACCAGCCAAAATTAGCACCCCATATTAGTAGTTACACTAACACTGATATAGTATCCCAGCTAAAAGATAAGCTTACTCCCGATCAGTTCCAACAATTCGGCAATACATGCTTTGGCTCATTTCTTCAAATGAAGCGATTTGATGTTCAACATCAACTCTTCAGATGCTTCATGGCTCGACAGTTAAACGGCACTCCAAACAATGTATTTGCAGTATACGTCAATGGTACTGAATTACATTTCACATTAAGGGAGTTTGCGCTTGTGACTGGCCTCAAATGTGTAGGTAAAGATGAAGATTTTGAGTTTAGTGAAACTCCTCCTAACCGGCTTATTGCGACTTATTTTGGAAGTGCTAATATTGTAAAGAAGAAACACTTGAGACAATGCTTCAATGACAAGGCATGGGGCCCCGACAATGATGAGGATGCTTTGAAGATATCTTTGTTGTATTTCATCCACACCTTTATATTTTCATCTGAGAAGAATAGTGCAACTATACCGAGGCTAGATTTTAACTTAGTAGAGAGTGGGCGCTATTCTAAATATCATTAGGGTATTAAAGCATTTGAGCTGTTGATAAACTCGATTAGCAAGAAGATGGATGCTTTGAAGAAGTATTACAGGATAGCTGGGATGCCCCTAGCTATGCAGGTGTGGTTTTATGAGTGCTGTTCTTCTGTTGATTCCAAAATTGCAGTCTGAGTCTGTGACGTGGTCCCCAGAATACTCAATTGGAGAACCACCAAAAATCAGCCAACATTTTCTTATCTGACGAACGGCATGTTCAAAGACATCGGAAACACGGTAATATGCAAATGTTATCAATATTCTGAAGATAATTGAACACAAATACATCTATAATTTGCATACATTTGCATTCAGTTAGAGGGGAAGCCTACTGTAATATACATTGGATTCATAAGCTTATATACATGAATACTTGCATACATATTAATACATTTAAATACATTGTAAATACAACAGAGTTAAATACACCTGAATATAGCATTATACAGTTATACATTAATATGTTTTTTGTAAGTCATAACTTATTTTTGTTCACAGATTGTGTTTAAGGACATCACTCCTCTAGATATAGAGCTTGCTGTTTTTCAGATTCCTCAAGTGTGCGCCGATATTAAGAAAATACCTACTCCTGCGCACTCAGACAAATCGGGACAGGATACAGATGACTTTTCTCCTACACCCAATCTTCAATCTAAGAAGAAACATGTTAAAAGTGTTGGTCCATCTTCATCACCGCCATATAAGAAGGTCAAGGAACAACCCAAGATTCCTACAAAAGAACCAGAATATCAGCCCAAAGTCCCTCCTGTTTGTGTTTCTGACATTGGACATAAACTTGTGCATGACCATCAGCTCCCAGAAGGCCAAAATGAGGAAGTATCTTCTTTGAGGAAAGACCTAAAATCATTCAAAGAATACGTGAGTATTTACCCACCGATTAATCAATAAAGTTTGATAGCTATGTGTTTTAGTATTTTTCTAACTATTTTGTACTGTTAAGGTTGTTGGAGAGTTCAAGTCTCTAAGGACATTGATCAATGATAACTTCAAGATGCTTTCAGACCAACTTCAACAAAATCAGCAAACTGAACCCATAGTGAGACATGATGGTGGCATTGACACAGATGTCGGAGATAATAATGAGGTATAAAAGCAGTTATCATATTGAACATATGTATTTAGCTGTATTCATATATGTTTTAATCTAGCCATTTTACTGATGTATTTAACTGTTATTCAGCTCTATATATATGTATTCTGACTTTTAAATCTTAACATATTGAGCATAATTTTTTAAATGTATTCATAACTGTGTTACACTTAATCTATAATATCACTTTTAATTGCCGTATTTATTTTTATTTCAACTGTATTTACATGTATTCTGCTTGGTTAATCTGCATTTTTTGTAATGTATATTAGCTACTTATATGTATTTAATCTTTTTTCTAACATTAAGTTACCATGCTAACAATGGTACATACAACTACCAGAAAACTATTTCAAAGGTACCGTCCATCATACCATCTACCACAAACCAAGAGGATGTATCTAAAGAATTCTATGTTTCTCAATTTGAACTGGACNTATTTCAGAGGTACCGTCCATCATACCATCTACCACAAACCAAGAGGATGTATCTAAAGAATTCTATGTTTCTCAATTTGAACTGGACGACAAGTTTCTACCCAGTCAAATTCCAGAAACTATAATAGTTGTTCACGCAAGTGCAAAAAAAGATGAAGCCACACCAGTGCAACCTCAACGAAATAGGCAACCAAGTAGATGGAACTCTTTGCCTTATCAGTCTAACTTCGACTCAGGAGGTAAGTGATTTTACAAACGTAATAATCAGCATTCATCGTGATTGAATCATTTATAGTAGTCCATAAACACAAATTCAATTTACAGCATGTTCCTCTGTAAAGTTGACACCCATCTTTGTAAAAAGATACCCGTTTGAGGAAGATCCAATAACGGGTCCACATCCTATGTTACTCATTCAATAATATGACAAGTGGGTTCATGAAGGTCTTCTAGCAAGACATGATCAGAAGTGAGTTTTCCCCCGTTTATTGTATTATGTTTTCATTTTTTAAGGTATGTACATAATGAGTTTTATATCATACTTGTAGAGGTAATCTCGACGACCATTACAAGAAAAACAAGTCTATACTTCACATTCCATTGGATTTTGGAGTTGATCAAGTTGATTCCAAAAACTGGTTTTACCTTCTATCCATTTACGGGAAGTTATGGGATGACAATGTGAGTCTTTCCCAAAAATAATAATCTTATCTTTAAATAATAACATGCTGTTTTATTAACTTGTATTTAGTTGTATTATTCAGCTGTATTCAGCTGTATTTTTCTCTGATTTCCTATGTATTCAGGTATAGTTAATTGAATTGAACTGTATTATTAACCTATAGTTAACTTTATTGAAACTGTTGTATTCAACTGTATTGAACAATTGAATTACCTGTATTCATCCAATGGCAGTTAAATTCAATTGTTTCAACCAGCTGTCTAGATCTGTATTCAACTGTATTACAGTGTATTCCACCAAAGTCAGTTGAATTGAACTGTGTTATTAACATATATTCAACTCTATTCTACATGTTGTATTCACCTATATTAAGGAATTGAATTAGTTGTATTCATTCAATGTCAGTTGAATTCAACTGTAGTCCATAATCTGAATACAGTTGTATTCACCTGTATTACAGTGTATTCCTCTATTTTCTGTATTCATTTGTATTCAACTTTTTTTTTAGCATCTATATTGAGGTATTCATATATATTATTTCTTAGTTCAAGAAAAAAAACTCACACTATCTACCAACCTCTTTTGTTTATAGCATATGGATGTCATATTCTACTATTTGCGAAAGATGGGCGAGTACAATCAGCATAGGGACTTCACGTTTACTACTGTTGATTGTATATTCAAGACAAGAATAGATGAAATATATGACAGGTATGAAGATACAGATAGTAATGCTAATGTAGCCAAATAAGAAGACGTTGTATGCGAGTATATTAGGGGCTACAGATTGCATGCTAATGTACCCTGGCATACAGTGGATAATGTCTTGATACCAGTGAACTTGAAGGAAAAACTTCATTGGGTGTTGGTTGTTGTGACTTTCAAAGATAGATGTATCAAAGTGTACGACTCGTACACGTCTTCCGGTCA